TGTATTTCTCTGATAATTAGTGATACTGAGGATTTTTTCATGTGCCTATTGATCATTTGTATTTCTTCCTTGGAAAATTGCTTGTTTAGGTTTTCTGCCCATTTTTGAATTGGGTTGTTTGTTTTTTCTTATTAAGTTGTATGAGCTGCTTATGTATTTTGGAGATCAAGCCTTTGTCAGTTTCATCTTTTGCAAAAATTTTCTCCCCTTCCATAGTTTGTTGTTTTGTTTTGTTTATGGTTTCCTTTGCTGTGCAGAAGCTTATAAGTTTAATTAGGTCCCATTTGTTTATTCTTGCTTTTATTTCTATTACTTGGAACCCTACTTCAAAAAGATACCTGCACCCCAATGTTCATAGCAGCACTATTTACAATAGCCAAGACATGGAAACAGCCTAAATGTCCACTGACAGATGACTGGATAAAGACGATGTGGTATATTTATATGATGGAATACTATTCAGCCATAAAAATGACAACATAATGCCACTTGCATCAACATGGATGTCCCTGGAGAATGTCATTGTAAGTGAAGTAAGCCAGAAAGAGAAAGAAAAATACCATATGAGATCGCTCATATATAGAATCGGAAAAAAAAACCATAAATACAAAACAGAAACAGACTCATAGACATAGAATACAAACTTGTGGGTCCCAAGGGTGAGGAGGGTGGGAAGGGAAAGACTGGGAGTTCGAAATTTGTAGATACTGACAGGCATATGTAGAATAGATAAACAAGATTATACTGTATAGCACAGGGAAATATGCACAAGATCTTGTGGTAGCTCACAGCAAAAAAGAATGTGACAATGAATATATATGTATGTTCGTATGTAACTGAAAAATTGTGCTCTACACTGGAAATTGATACAACATTATAAACTGACTATAACTCAATAAAAAAGTTAAAAAAATAAAAAATAAAAGTAAATGGAAAAGAAATCATGTATTATGTTAGAAAGTAGTAAGTCCTATGGGAAAGCAGAAAATTAGCACAGGGTAAGAGGGATGGAGAGGGTTTGGTTCCTGCAGGGGTGCTGGTGAGGCTTGTGGGGAACAGTTTACAGTATAACCAGGAAGAGACCTCACTGGGAAGGTGAGATCTGAACAAAGACCTGAAGTTGGTAAAGGAGTTTGCTAAGTGCGTATCTGTGGGAAAATGATTCCAGGCAGAGATAACAACAGTACACGTGCTCCAAGGCAGGAAAAGAGCCAGGGTGGTTATGGGGAGTGGGGAAGATGCATAATTCGAGAGGCAACTTGCAGGCTGATATGTAAGCCACTGTAAAGCCTGCAGCTAGAAAGAGGAGACTTTCACAGACTTACTACAAGTTATTCTCTAGACGATAATAAATATCTGTTCAATAAAGTTAAATAGGCTTCAATTGAAAAAAATTATTGATACGGTAAATCAGGAGCTAACTGTAGACACAGAGACATTTCTAAATTAGTTTTAAAACACCAAGAGGTGTGGAAGAGTGAACTCAATCAGCTGATGAGATGTGTGAGACAAACGTTCTCCATTTATTCTGAGTGTAAATATAGGACTGTACTTGAAATCAACGGAGTTTCAGCAGATATCACTGCCTCCTTTTATTTTATAAATTTTTGATTGATTATTTTAAGGTCAAACAATAATTTATTATGAAATAATTTCTTCTTAATTTTTTTTCTTCTTTTGTTATATAGGTTTGGTTTATAGTGGGTGCTTTTGGTGGAGTTTATCCCTGGATTCAATGTATCTGAAACTGTCAGATTCTGTACGAAATGTGTCAAGGAATAGTAACTAAATTTTAGTCAGATAGGTCAGTCTCAGGAGGTCCTCATGACAGAGCAGCCTGGACTGACCACTCTGAGCACATGTCTTGGCAAATGAAAGGCATAACAACATAGTGATTGCCAGCCTAGTCCTGGCCCAGGGGTTCATTTCATATTCTAAGCACTTTCAGGCTTTCAGTGGCAGCATGGTTTACCCAGTGTGTTTTCCTTCCTGCACCCTGATGTGGTTTAAATTCTAAAATCACCTGCAGACGTGGTATGACTATGAACTCCACTGCCATCTCCTCTTCAATGTATTTGGACTATGTCCACCATGCCAATTCTATTAAAGATCTCTTGCCCACTTAAATTTCAGCTGTATAACTTGATGGTAAACTCACTCCAGAAAGTCTAAAATCACTGCACCCAGAATTTTGTTCATGCCAAACAAATAAATGTTGAATAAATGAATAAACCAGCAGTAGAATTAGCAGGGAGTGTCTGTCTCTGCCTTCCTTGGCAGATTCCAGGGCCCGTTCTGATGGAGATGTATCAGTGAACTCAAACCACAAGCCAAAGGGAGCTGGAGCAGACCTTGCATCTGGGGGCCTGGGATTCACCTGCTCCCTACAAACTGGTTTCTCCCTATTCTTATTCTATCCTCTAGTTCCTTGTGTGGCTGGTTCTCTGTCTGGAATGCTACTCGGCTGGCTGCTGCCCTGATCACCTGCATGGTGCATGAGAGGGCCAGTTTCATTTAGTAGGATGAGGAGTAAGATTAGGATTTGTATTGAGGTTGGAAGCCCCATAAAAAAGACCAGCAGGACCCCCAGGCAGTACCACTACTCTCCTGCCAGGACCATCCAGTTCCCTGGCCCAGCAGCTTTATCTCACTTTTTGCCTCTGAAACGGCTTACTTCTAGGAAAGTGGAACTTACCTCTAAAATTCTATTGTTTCCCTGAGCTCACTCCTGATCGGTCCATTTGTAGTGCTTCATTTGCATGGAGCTCACTCCTGATTGGTTATTTCTCTCACTCCTGATTGGTCCATTTCCCTCACTCCTGATTGGTCCATTTCTCTCCCCCTGATTGGTCCATTTCTACAAAGCTTGTTCTTAATTAGTCAACGTCTGTTCTACCTTATTTGCATAAAATGTTGAAAAGTGTAAACTGGCAGCCTATAAAAGCCTGTGTAAACGTACAGACGGGGTCCAGAGCTTGGAGTGTTAACTCCTCTGGGCCTGCTGGCATAATAAACCTGAGATCTCTAACTCTCTGAGTGCTGCTTGGTCTCTCTCTGGGATCCAGGTTGCTGTCACAACCGAGCTGTAACACTGAGCTCTGATACTGAGCTGCAACACACTTTCCAGCAACATTTCCAGGGGTCTCCAGAGAAACAGAACCAATAAGATGTGTGTCTATGTACATACACTAAACCCCTGCATAGAACAAAAAGCCTTCCCCAAGCGAGAGGGAATTCTCCAGCAGTCTACATGTGGACTGGAGCTGGACATGGTTCTTCAGGGTCTCTGCCTGTGGTCTGAACAGTCATGTAGTATGTCTTTTCTATATACATATAGCTATTTATAATGTATATATATATAGTATATATTTTACGTATAGGGCACATATGTAATACACATAATGCATATAGATGTAATGTCTGTAGTGTATATGTGAACACACACACATGAACACACATGCACATCTTACTGATTCTGTTTTGCTGGAGAACCTTGACTTATAAAGAATCCTAAAGACCATTCTAGTCTAACCATCTCTCTTTTTCTTTCCTTTGCCTGTTCTCCAGTGTGTGGATGGGACGTCTGAAGATCAGAGGGCTCAAGTGACGTGTCCAAGATAATCAGCTCATTGGTGACTGAGCTGGCATACTGAGCTCTGGGCTGGGTAGGGGGAGAAAGGGCATCAAAGATGCCTAATATAGTGACCCACTGGATACCTGGGACTGCTGAAAGGAAAGGAGATGGCAGGAGAAGGTTCACATTTTGAGACCAAGTTTTACTCTTTCAATTGTGATTGAACCATCAGCAGCAGCAGAGATGCAGAAGGGATTCAAATGTGCAGGAGACGTGTTCTGGAACGCTCTGGAATGTGCTCTGGAAAGGGAGACATTTCTGTCAGATGATTATCCCCTGAAGAATATTATTCTCAGTTATGATGACGTGAAAGACCAAACGCCCAACTCGTGAAAAAAAGCAAAGCTAACAGTTGCCGAGGACACGACTTCTGACGGCAGCGTTTTCCCTCTGATGAGCGGTGACTGGCTCTGCTGTCACTTTCACAAGATGAGCGCCGCTTCCTGGCAGAGGAGTCACATTCTGAAAGCCAAGGTTTTCGTTTTTTTGAACTTAAAAAAAAATTCGTGACAATACAGAGCTTTTAACTTTCAACTTGATTTTTAAAAATTTTATGATACGAGAAACAATGTTGACTGTGTTAGAATAAGTTGTAACTGGCTTTCCAGAAAATGATACGTGATGCTTCAACTCTGCCTCACTGTGAAACGTGGTGTGGAGAACGAGGCGAATTGGTTGCACAATTCTGTCTGAGAACGACTTTTCCCCTCAATTTTTTCCCCTGCCTTGAGAGTATTTTTTGCTTTAATTTATTCAGTCTATAATTTATGTCCCCACTTTACATTGTCTAGAGAGCTACATTGACTGAGACAAGGGAAAACACAAATGTATGTGGTTATTCCTTCCACAGTAATGAGCATCAACAAAGGAACTGTGCTAAGTTTTATGGAAGATGCGAAAACACAGAGGACACAGCCTCTTGGTCAGTTTAGCAGGTAGAAAGTGTTTAGTGCCAACTGGAAGGGAGAAATTGTTGTAGGAACTTATTCATTCATTTACCAAATGTTTATTGACTGTGTGTTAGAGCCTGGGCACCATACACGGACGACTAGGATGCAGTGCTGGGTGTGTAGAAGTGGAGAAAGAAATGCAAAAAGCAGGGGAAAAAAGCTGTTAAAAGTATTAAAATATAAAGCTTTTTTGTGTGTGGGCTCTCTCTGGATTTGTCATGGTTTTGTTTATTCGCTGTTTGATGTCCAAAGAAAATAAAAACTAAAACGCTACATTACTAGCATGAATTTTACTGTTCTCTATATTGTGCAACGCCAGTGCAAACACAAATATCACATTTCACTGGGGTGTGGAATCACCGAAATTACACAATTTGTATTTTGTGGCTTGTCCTTTGAGGGTACCTCTAGCTGGTCAGAGGCAAAGTCAACCCAGAATAAGGAAGACTGGAAGGAAGAAGAGAAAATCCCCCAGCCTGGAGCTGGCTGAGGGGTACTTGGGGCGTAGGAGTCAGCGCCAACCCTCCACAGGTACCCAAGGGTCCCTCTGCGTGATTTGGGTTGAGCGTGTGTTTCCTGAGGCCTGATGACTAGTGGGTCCCTCCTCTTATCAGCCAAGGGACTCATGTGCAGTGTCCCAGCAGGGAGCTTGGGTCAAAGGCGTTGAGCCAGAGGGTCCCCTATTTACATGGGACCACAGTCCCAATTCACAGTAGAATGGGTGACTATTAAAGATCTTAAACCTCTGTGTCAGGATGTGCTCAGCACCTGATTAGGGGGACGAGAGGCTTGCCCCTGCCCTGGCCCAGACAAGTCTCACCTGGAATGGGAGCAGCCATAGTCATGCTTGGCCCTGAGATGCCTCAGGGTGTGTGTCTACCCCACCCTACCCAAGCTGTGACCAGGCCGCTTCCTAGGTGCAGAGTGGCAGCAGTCACCTGGCGTGGCTGCTGAGGGGAGGCTGGCTGAAGTTTGGGACAAGGGAATGGGTGGCTGAGGACCTGTCCCAGGCCAGGTGGGATTGTGTGGGAGCTGGAGGTCTAAGCCCCTGATGCAGGCTCCATTGTCCCATTGGACTTCACTTAAATACACAAGTTCAAAGATAAAATAACTGAGGAATTTCAAGGTTGAGCTGGTTGCATGGCCAAGAAGCCAGTCCTACTCTGGAGCTCAGCTTTTGTTTGTTTGTTTGTTTGTTTTTTTGTTTGTTTGTTTTTAACATTTTTTATTGAGTTATAGTCAGTTTACAATGTTGTGTCAATTTCCAGTGTGGAGCACAATTTTTCAGTTATACATGAACATGCATATATTCATTGTTGCATTTTGTTTTGCTGTGAGCTACCACAAGATCTTGTGTATATTTCCCTGTGCTGTACAGTATTATCTTGTTTATCTATTCTGCATATGCCTGTCAGTATCTACAAATGGAATTCAGCTTTTTGATAAGGTTTCCACAGCTGTGATGGCTCCAGCTTTCAGGGAAGGCAGTTTCCCCTTTGTGCTGAGTTGGAGGAACAGTGAACCTATCAAAATTTTCTTTTTCAAGTTCTCTTTACTTGAATTACTGTTCAAGGGACTAATTTTAAATTTTTTTTAAGGGGTGGTTTTCTTTCCTTTTCCAAGGACGGCCTCATCCCCCTTCATGGTGGTTTCAGATTTGCTTTGGATTTGGATGCTGGTGTTTGGAAATGTCACTAAAGCAAAGTCACGTGAAAACTGTGGACAAGTATTGAATGCAGATAAGGAATTGAGATGATCCCTGATAACCACTTAGCCACAAAAGAACATTCTGTGACAGCTGCCAGTTCAGGGACAACCCTGTGTGTCCAACCACAAAGGGCAGGGGAGTCTTGCCTGCTGATCATTTTTAGGGAGGCAGGATGGGCCAGGGCTTAGGTCAAGGGGCTCAGGAGTTGACCAGATCTGGGACTGAGTTCTTCCTCTACCGTTGTGTGATTTAACTACTTAATCTTTCTGTGCTTCAGTTCCTGCATGTGCAAAATGATCATGGTTTTGCCTTTTTTTTTTTAAAGAGTTCCTGGTAATGTTAATTGAATATATATGTAAAGTGTTTAGCATGACCTGGAGACCCAGTCAATTCTCAATACATATAAATTCTATATCTTTTCATACGTGAGCATGCAAGAAAAAAGTGAGAAAGGCAACATTTCTTCACACAATATTGTCCTTCTTTTTGGCCCCTGTACTGGGGACCCCAGTGCCTTCCATGATGCTGCAGCTGGTCCATTCCCTCCCATGATGCAGACTCTTACTTGTCACTTTCACTTTTGTCAAATGCTATATGTCTTGTCCCCCCTGCTTAAGGCTACTTAAAAATATTATTTTACTGGGTTAAATTTGTTCCTTAGTTGGATCCAAGATACCGACATCAAATATTGAAGTCAGGAAAGTCAGGAAGAAAAGCATCAAAAGGGCATATGGGGAGCCTGGAAAAGGATGAAGGTGAAGTGGAAAGAGAAGTGAAAGAAAATAGGGGATCACTGACAAGAACTGACATGCCACTCTAGATTTTAAGTTTCTTGAGGACAGGGGCTGGGGCAGCATGATCTCTGCATCTCAAAAGTCCTTAGCAGAGCTCTTTGGTCACTTTGAGTCCAATAAATTTGTAGAATAAATAGTGAATAGTCATAGGCACCCCAGGCTCCAGAGGGAGTAGCCAGGAGCAGGGTCCTGGCTGGTGGGGATGTGTGGGAATAGACAGGAGGTTTAAGATCTGCACTTGTCCCCGTTCCCTGAATGAAACAGAAATTGCTGAGCACTTCATGGTTTGTGTTGTAGCTTACTTTCAACACAGCTGTGTGATCTCGGGCAAAGAATTTATGTTCTCTCGGCTTTGGTTTCTTCATCTCTCCTTGGTATAATGAGGATAAAATGAACACCTGGTCACCTGATGTGTGCATGCGAAGAGCTATCACACAGATGACTAGATAAAGACAATGGAATACCACTCAGCCATAGCAAAGAATGAAATAAAGCCATTTTCAGCAACATGGATGGACCTAGAGATTGTCATACTAAGTGAAGTTATGTCAAAGGTAAATACCGTATATGTGGAATCTAAAATGACACAAATAAACATATTTACAAGACAGGAACAGACTCACAAACATAGAAAACAAACATGGTTACTGAAGAGCAAAGGGGTAGGAGGGGTAAATTAGGAGTTCTGGATTTGGAGATACTAACTACTACATATAAAATAGACACATAACAAAATCCTACTGTATAGCACAAGGAAGTATGTTTAGCATCTTATGATAATCTATAATGAAAAAGAATATGAAAAAGAATACATATGTATAACTGTGCTGTACACCAGAAACAAACACAACATTGTAAATCAACTGTATTAAAAAAAAAATAACCTGTCACAGTTCTGGGTACAGGGCAGGAAATCAATAAACACTATCTTTCAATTCTGCCTCTTTCCAACCTTTCCCTTCTTTCAACCCCGTAGACTTTCAATTCTGCCTATCTTCAAGAGTTAACAAAAATACTAGTGCTAAAAAAGTGGCACTGTTGGTCTTGGATGTTATGAAAGAATATAGATGGATTATTGCAAAATTTTTTGCACTGAAAGAAAAACAATCTGGGCATCTGTCCTTCTGGTGGTAGACTCAGTAGCAACAAACTGTTTGCAGAAAGGACAGCACTTTTTGTTTTTTTAATCCCAGAGGCAATACGAAGAGTTGGTGAGAGTAAGGGTTTTGTGGTCAGACAGACTTGGTTTTGTCACATGTACTTGCCACTCTAATCAGGCAAGTTACTTAACTTCTTTGTGCTTGGATTTCCACATCTGTAGTATGTCTCCTCCCTCCGTCCCTCCCTCCCTCCCTCCCTTCCTTCCTTCCTTCCTTCCTTCCTTCCTCCCTTCCTGAGCACCTCCACAGCATTTGTTTTAACATGGTCTTTTCCAACATTGTTTAACTACAGATGACTTCTGCTGTAGACTCACAATTTTAACTGTTGTATTAAAACTGTTACATGTCAACAACGTGGTTATGACCTTTTCTTATATAAAGGCCAAATGTGTTGTCACTTTACTGTCTCTTAATTTAATCTTTGTACATTTCCTATTTTTAAGTGCTTAAATGAGTACTATACAGCAATAAAAATGTAGTGATATAATTAAGCAGCCATTAAAAATTTGCTTCTACAGATGAAAAAAAAAAGGTACTGGAAACACCACGGTGATGACAGGTGTGCAGTTTGCATGATGTCCAGAAAGCGTACAAATTTGTGCTGAGCCCTGAAGCCTGACAAGGACTCAGGCAACGTGTGAAGGGCTGAAGGAGGAGGGCTAAAGACGGAGGTGGCAGGAGGCTCAGGGTCAGGTCCCAGGAGCTGAGGATGTCTGTGTGGCCGAAGCACAGAGTTCTCAGGGTGACAAATGAGAGGTAAGCCTTGGGGCAGAAGCAGGGTGATGGATTAGGAAGAGCCTGAAACAATCCTTAAAGAATTCAGAGTTTATCCTCAGTGTGACAGTAGCATTTCCCAAATAGTTCTTCCCAGAGGGACTAGAGGCCAGTAGGACCCAGTGAGCATTCTCTCCCTTCCAGAAGATTCACAATGCACATGAGTATCTCTTAACATTCTTCGATTAAAGAATTCCATATACCATTTGTTTAATGGCTTTCCCATACCTAATTAATGTTTGAAAAAAAAATTTACCTCATAGGAACTCAGGTCCCAAAGAACCTGCTTGGGGGAAGTGATGAGCCGATATAGTTATATTGGGGTCCAACATGAAAACCGTATTGGCATTTTAGAAAGACATAATGACATCTACCACACATGGAACACCAGGTACTTTCAATGTGCTTAACTAGTGTGAGTCTTGTAACAAGTCCGGGAGGTAGGTACTATTATTTTTTTGCATTGTCAAAATAAGGAAACCAAGGCACGCAAGATTTAGGTAATTTCCTAAGGTTATGGAACTAGTTATAAGTGGAGGGCCTTGAACATGAATTTGGCCAGTCTGGCCTGGGAGCCTATACTGAACAGAACAATCTGACGGCGGGCGGCTGTTGACTGGAGTCAAACAAGACTGGAGACAATTGGGAGGAGGTTGTCACCATAATTCGGGTAAGAGATGATGGTCAGCTGGACTTCACACATTTGTTTAGAGGATTAAGCATTATACCATGATGAAAGTGCCTAGTGCAGGTTTGATTCTACGGCGAATAATAATGTCCCCATCATATATGGAAACTGGGTCTATGAGAGATCCATAGTTCAGATTAATGGGGAAGGGAGGATGGATACATATGCTGGGGCTGCCATAACAAAGCACCACAAACTGGGTGGGTTACACGGCTAGAATGTATTGTGCTCCCTGGATATATGTCTGTCTCTAAATTTCCCATTTTTATAAGGACACTAATCGTGTGGGATTAGGACCCATCCTCATGGCCTCATTTTAAACTTGATTACTCTGTAAAGACTTTGTCTCAACATAAGGTCATTTTCTAAGGTTCTGGGGCTTAGGGCTTCAATATAGACATATTGGGGGACACAATGCAACCCATAATAGTGGGATTATTTAATAATGGCACCACTAATATTGATTATCCATATGGAGAAAACCCCTGGCTTCCTACCTCACAAATGCTCAAAGTCATTACCTGAAGGATTAAAGACTTAAATGTGGAAGGAAAAAAATGTCAAAATGTTTAGAAAATATATAGCAGATCTTTATAATTGGGGTTCTAGAAGGTCTTTTAGAATATGACACCAAAAAAGCTAAACAGCATGACAAAAAATAAGACCTAAAATATTTAAATTTGATCACATTGAATTAAGAACTGTTTGTAACAAAAATGACAGCACAAAGAGAATGAAAAGGTAAGCTGTGATATGGAAAAAGTTGTTTCCTCTATAATTGGTAGAGGATTAGCATCTAGAACACATGAAGAATTATTAGTAAGAAGGCAAATAACCTAATAACATTTGGACAAAAGAGGCAAACAGATATTTCACAGAAGAAGAAACAGGAATGCAAAGGGAAATATAATTTAGTCCCACAAGGTGATACCATTTTGCAATCACCTGGTTGGTAATAATTAAAAAGAGAGACAATTCCAAGAATTAGCACAAATGTGGCTGAAGACAACTCTTATGCACAGTTTGAAGGACTGTGAGTCAACACAAGATTTTGGTCTTGTCTTGGAACGTTGGACATTCTCATACCCTATGACCCAGTAATTTTATCTAGGTATAGATCCTACAGACACTCCTACACAAAACGATGAATAGAAGATTATTCATGGTAGATTATTCCCTAAGAACCCCAAACTGGAAATAGTCCCAATGGTTATTAACAGAATGGTATTTTAAAAATTTCATTATGTGATCATTGAGTTATTACAGAATTTTATAAATGAATAACTACCATTGCATACAACAACATGCATGCACCCTATAACTCTTGCATTAAGAAAAAGCAAGTGACAGAAGGTTAACATTACAAAACAAGGAAAGTTAAATAATATATTGGTTCATCTGCATATTTATGTATAAAACAATAAAATGCAAGAAAATGATGACAGACACACAATTCAGGACCATGGTTATCTCTGTTACTTCTCGGGGAGGGATACAGAGGAATGAAATGGAGGCAGAAATATGCAGAGAGATGTAACAATATTAGTAATGTTCTAGTATAGTCCTTGCTATGGAGTGAATTAACCCCCCTCCAAAGATATGTCTCAATCCTAACCCCCAGTATCACAGAATGCGATCCTATTAGGAAATAGGGTTGTTGCAGATATAATCAATTAAGACCAGGTTGTACTGGAGGAGGGTGGATCCCTAATCCAATAAGACTGGGCTCTTTATAAGAAGATGGCCATGTGAGGACAGACACAGAGAGAATGGCATGTGAAGGTGAAGGCAGAGATTGGTGTGATGCATCTATAAGCCAAGGAGCGCTCAAGACTGCCAGAAGCAAGGACAGGGACGTGGAACAGTCTCCCTCAGAGCCCTCGGAAGGAACTAACCCTGCCAAAACCTTGATTTCAGACTTCTAACGTCCAGACTGTCAGACAATACATTTCCGCTGTTTAAGCCACTCAGTTTGTGGTACTTTGTCACAGCAGCGCAAGGAAATTAATGCAGTCCTTACATTAGGTGGTAGGTGCATGGGTGTTCATTTTATATTATGATTCACAACTTACAAATGCCTTGCACATGTTACTTTCTGTGTTTCAAACAGTTACATAATGAAAATAAAAAGGCAAAAGAAGTTGTTATTATTTTCATTACTACCAAACTGAGGCATATTTCCTAGCATTAATGTTGATGGTAAATATCAGAAAAGCTTCCCAAGACAGTTTTATTAAAACTATAAAAATCAACTTCCAACACACTCTTTGATTTTTATGGCATTTTTATTTCAGCCTCAGTGTCACTGAGTCCCGGTTTCTCTGACTTTAATTATAGCCTGTACACTCTTCTGAGCAAAGTGTTCTCCATCTAATGAGTGAAGGTGTTTGCCAGGCACACACCTGTTATGGTATATTAGCTCCTTGTACACAGTCTGACATCAGCTTTATCTCCATTAACCCAAATGGAATGCACACAATCACGTCCAGGTTCTGGGCACACATGCCACAGAAATAAGTGTCCTCCTCCAGTCCAGAAGCCAGACAGAGCAGGGGCTTGTATGCTTTGTTCACCTAGCTGTAACTCTGCCTCCTAGAAACAGTGTCTGACACAAAGTAGGTGCTCAAGAAATTTGCTGAAGGAATGTATAAAATAAGAGTTTTAAGCACGCCCACTTCTCAGCATTATTAATACCAATTACCACTTTTCAGAAGAGTTTATCAGCCACCCCTCACCCCCTGCTAATTTTTGATCTGTTTGTTTCCCTCATCTGCGGATTCACCAGCTCTTCTTCCTTATATATGCAGTCAGAGGCTGCCATGGGGAACTTTGAATAGGGGATCGGACTTGGGTCTTACAAGCCAGACACATACATCTTTTTTCTTTTAAGAGTAGTTAGGTGTTTAATCTTCCATGTAAATTGGCTGTTTGCTCTACTAATACTAATATATTCTTTCCATGTTGAGAAGCAATGTAAGTGCTTTAGAATCTTTTATTGATACTCAGGTGAAATGTGTCTTGATTAAGAAATGGATTCTAAAAAAGGAACTCCAAGAATACATGCAAAGAAGATATCTTTTCAAAAATTAGGATTTATCTAGTATTTTTGAAAAGTAAATTAATATTGTTTTGAACAGATCACATAATAAATGTTACAATTTGAAATGGCATGAATGAGATTTTTCCTCTTTTACCCTGTAGACAGCAGTTGATGTTAGTAAGATGCACCAATGAGAGATGAGACTTTTTAAGATCTTGAGATACAATACAGGAAATGCTGACTGTAACACTGATGAATTCTAACAGCATTTGCTAAGTGGTCAGGATAGTCCTGGGTGAGGATGGAGAGATGACTAAGACCTCTGTAGGCGTTTAGTTCAGTGGGAGAGACATAAGTAAATGGATAATTGCATATAATGTAATTAAGTGCTATTAATCATTAAAGGAAAGACCAGTGCTCTGTGTCACTCACGTTTTCAGTGTGGTTTATTACATAGTTGTTTTTACGGATACTGATCATCCAGATGTAACATTTCTCTGCTAACCAGAATATTTGATCAACCAAAATTTTCAATTCTCCCCATACCTCAGTAACAGTTTATTTTATAAGTTATGATCATATCATTAAAAACATCTCAGTATCTGCCACAGGGGAAAACTCTGCAACCATTCTTTTCTATAGTAAATGGCTAATTTATTTTCTCTCCCTCTAGTATTTTATGATCCTTTTCAATTGCCAGGAATTTAGAGGCCCCTTCTGATTTTAGAATGGAGAAAAGAGGGGTTGTTTTCTTGTGACATTGGTTTTTCACATATGTGGTGGCAACATTTTACTAATAAAGAGCAAAGGTCAGTAGCAGATTCCCATAAGTGTTTAGATATAAAAATGAGATACAGTTAAGAGATATGGATCAAAACAATGCTGGCAAAAAGCAGTTACAGGATTAAAATGGCTCAATTTTAACCTGGTGAAGTAGTGGATATTTTAAAACTTGATCATGAAATGATCGCCACAAAATTTGTTAGATTCATATCTCTTTGGGTAAACATACCATTAGAAATTCTCTCACCATTGGGCTTTTAAAATCATTAAAATGTTACTAATGCCTTATCTGCAGGTGTTTGAGAATACTTTTCGCCTAAACCTAACCCTAACCCTTCTCTCATTCTTTAGAAAGCAAGAAACAGTCCAGTCCTCTAAGCCACAGTGAATCCTAAGGCAGTGACTTTCTTATTGACAACACTTAGGCTGAACACCCGTTTTTAACTTCCTAAGGATATCGGCCACTAACCCTTCCCCAAATACATCGTCTCTTTCTTTCTACCTGGATGAATTGTCTGCAAACTGCAATCTGACAGTTCAACACGCTGTCACGACAGCGGTCCGAAGACGTTCCTCAGCTCCCCAGATTCCTATTTTTCAGCCGTAGAGATGGCGACTTTGGCTGGAAAATGAGTTAGAAACAAAACTTTCCCCTAAGCGGTCGGGCTGTTGAGAGGGCAGCTCCGATGCTGATGCGGGGGCCGGAGCATCCCAGCGCGGTGCTCAACTCTCTCCTGGTCCGGCTCTGGGCTAAAGGCAAAAGGGGCGGAGAGGAGAGAAGGGAGGAAGGGGCGGAGGTCACCCACGCCCTCCACCCCGCCCAGGAGGCGAGCGCCTCTAGGTGCTAGGAAATCGGAGAAGCCGAGCGCGCCGGGCAGGTTCCGTGCGGGCAGAGCGCGCGGGGGGACCCGCCGCTAGACTGAACTCCATCCAGCCGGAGCCGGAGCCGGAGCCGGGGCCAGAGCGCGGCGCGGCGCGGCGCGGCGCCGGCGGGACCTGCGGCGGCTGAGGAGCGAAGCTGGGGCGGGATGGCCCACGGCCCGGCGCGCTCTTCTGCTCCTCCGAGAGCCCTGCCCGCGGCCCGGGATCACAAGGTAACCAATCACCCCTCTAGTGGCTGGATTCCCACGAGCCGGCCTTCGGATGCTCAGACCCCACTGAGGTCTAGCCACCTCACCCCCGGGCGCTCGGCGGCTGCAGCCGGCAGCGCTAGAGCGCACCTTTGCCTGCGCTTGGCAACAAGTTTGGACCAGATGCCCAAGCTGGGGAGGCCCGCGGAGAACAGGGTATCCTTGCTCACCCATCCGGATTCTGAGCTGCGCTCACGGGGACCGGGTAGAAAGGGTCTCGGAGAAGGAAATGCGTAAATGCCCCCTTGGTTCCCTGCCCGCCCCACTCCGGCACCGAGGCCGGCCCAGGCCTTTGGCGCACCCCCGGGTGGGAGGGAAGCCGGCCCTCTGGCGTTTGAGCAATCGCTGAAAGTTTCAGCAAGTTAAGAGGTTTGGGAAGGATGTTGCAAGCAGAGGCCTGGGGGCGGCGGGGTAGTTGTGGGTGAAAGCTGTGAGTAAGACCCGAAGGAGGCGGCGGCCCTCCAGGCAACCGGGGCGGCCCCGCTTGGGCCGGTCCCAGGAAAGGCTGGCTCCGGAGTTCTAGCCTCCCGGAAAGCTGCTCGGGAAACGCCAGGCGAATTAACTCGGGGCGGGGTGGCAGTGGTGGTGGGTATAGAGGGTCTGTGACTCAGTTCTCGACTCACGAGGGAAAGAGCGACAAATAAATAATTCACATTGCATGCTGCTGCCCCGAAACTGGCTTAATCAGCAGCACCAGGCAGATGTGCTCACAGCGAGCGCAGCCAACCCTTCCCGTCAGGACCCGGGATTTCTGCACAGGTGGTAGCTGGACCAGAAAGCCCCCCCTAGAGACTCAACACCGACCCGTCTCCTGGGCCACTGATACGTGTGGTTTGTTGCTATTTGATCGAGATCAAATAGTTTTAGAATTTATTCAGAGAAACCCCATTCAGCGTCAGTGAATTCTGCTCCCTCCCAAAGTTTGGAGAGTATTTTGTCTGCCTGACAAGCAGACACAGTTCCTAAAGGAATAATCTGCACTCTGGCGACAAAACCCATCAGAAAAAAAAGCAGAAACTTTAGAAGGTCATCCGGTTATTAAAATAGGCTATTATGCTTTTAAAAACTCGATTGGGTTTAAATCTAATCTTGTTAGTGACTTTGTAAACCTTCAGGGTTTTAAGGTGTCAGTGACGTGTTGGGAGGAGATGTAGGAGGTGCCCATTTGCAGAGTTAGCCACAGAGGTTAACCAAGGGGGCGGGGGTCTCAATTCTGGTAGCTTCTTTACCTTGAAAATGAAATGTGGAACCGCAGGCAGATGTGTGCTGTTTTCTGGATGATGTAATCTTGCTCGTGATAGGCCAGATAAATCTGATTCCCACCGCAGGGTGCTGGGGTGCTTTGACCTTAAATGTCAGACGAACAGCAGTCCAGTGCTCATGATTTCTCTGTCTTCATACTACAGATCTCTGGACTGCAAGCTTGCACTGTCTTGAGAGGGAGATGACTTGAGTGGACGGCTTTTATCTCCACAACAATGTCCATGAACAATTCCAAACAGCCAGTGTCTCCTGCAGCTGGGCTCCTGTCAAATACGACTTGCCAGACAGAAAAAGGGACTTCAATATCTTTTTCAATAATCTTCATGACAGTGGGAATATTATCAAACAGCCTTGCCATCGCGATTCTCATGAAGGCATACCAGAGATTTAGACAGAAATACAAGGCATCGTTTTTGCTTTTGGCAAGTGCTCTGGTAATCACAGATTTTTTTGGCCACCTCATCAATGGAGCTATAGCAGTCTTTGTATATGCTTCTGATAAAGACTGGATCCACTTTGACCAATCAAACATCCTTTGCAGTATTTTTGGTATCTGCCTGGTATTCTCTGGTCTGTGCCCACTTTTTCTAGGCAGTGTGATGGCCATTGAGCGATGTATTGGTGTCACCAAACCAATATTTCACTCTACGAAACTTACATCCAAACATGTTAAAATGATGTTGAGTGGCGTGTGCTTTTTTGCCGTTTTCATCGCTTTGCTACCCATCCTTGGGCATCGTGACTATAAAATTCAGGCGTCAAGGACGTGGTGTTTCTACAAAACAGAGCACATCAAAGACTGGGAAGATAGGTTTTATCTTCTACTCTTTTCTTTTCTGGGGCTCCTAGCCCTTGGTATTTCACTCTTGTGCAATGCCATCACAGGCATTTCACTTTTAAGAGTTACATTTAAAAGTCAGCAGCACAGACAAGGCAAGTCTCATCACTTTGAAATGGTCATCCAGCTCCTCGCTATCATGTGTGTCTCCTGTGTTTGCTGGAGTCCGTTTCTGGTAAGGACCTATGGTTTTGACAATTTCTGCTTTCTTCAGTTAATCTACATTCAGTACAGTCTTTGCTGAGTTTTTCAAAGTTGTTAGCCTTGATGGGCAGTGCTGTTTCATCTTTTAAATGCTGGAATTTACCCCTACTCAGATCTTATTTTAGCACTCTAAATAGCTTTAGATTTAAGCTATGTATGACACAGATGGTTATTTCCCTGTAAGCCCTGAATTAAAAGATATATCTTGCTAAACAGTTCTAACTGTAGTGTGACCTGCTTGCAGGGTGACATCAAGTAACTTTAGTAAAAGTGACATAGTTTACATACACTGAATACGATTAGTTTCTAAAATGTGAAAGAAAACGACCAACTATGAAACAATATTGGAATGGACTCCAGTAAGCCTTGGTAGCAATTCTCATAGACATTTAACTTATAGACTGGGTTCTTCTCAACACACAAGGACCGAATCTCAGCCTGCAAAGGGAGGTGCTGAGTTGAGATAGTTGGATGGTTCAGGTGAGCTCAATGGGTAGATCAGGTAAAGAAATCACTAATTCACTAACCCAGGCTGCGAGGAAGGCAGGGAGAGGTATGATTGGCAGGAGAGCCTGGGATTCTCTTCATTTCAATCCTTCCTCTTTTTTAATTTAGCCTGCAGCTATATTTAACATCTTGTTATTTCTATTTGGAAGTGAAGGCAGAAAGGTAAAGTTAAAGAATTAGCCACAAACATAAATCATTTATATGACTTTCTAGGTGGAAGACGAAAAATACTTATGATTGATAAATATGACCGTAACTCTCTCCAGCAGTTTATGATGGAAAAAGTGACAACATATGAAAGAGGAAACATCCTTGTGTAGGTAGCTTCTCAGGGCAGCAAAGATTATTTTCATTCCCTTTTCTGTACCAGTGGGGAAACAGGCCAGTATCCAAATGGTAGATACGCAGGTAGAAGTAAGGTAAAAATACGCAGGTGAGATGCTGGCAGACATGACACCGAGGTCGTGGTCATACATCGCGTAGTAGTATGAAGGGGCTTGTTAGTTACTAATGCAGTTTTTCTAGGTCCCCACAGGCCCATTGTCCAAAAATTGTTGCCAGTGAAGTTTTCATAGACAATCCTGATGGTCCTGGGGAACAGAAAAGTTTCTGAGAGCTGCTTTTTGGGCTTTTGTGGACAGATCCTATGGCAGTCAATTTTATTCTGCAAAATGACTTCTACTTTTTAAATGTTTCCTGATTTCTTTTCCAATGTATTTTCTCACAATTGGAATTTAGCTCCTTGAATTGTATCATTTAAATATTCTTTTCTCCTATGATGTCCTGGAATTGGTCCTCGGTGCCCAACCTACGAGAGACTGGGCTCCATCTGTCAATGGGAAGTCAACCTTCTGAGACCTGCTTATTGTCAGTTTAGGAGGCCTTAGGTGAACCCATGCAGGGGTCTGATCTGAGCTCATGGTTTGGTTGTTTGAATCTAAATAGGAGAGACCAGTTCTATCAACACTTGGAATCATTTCAGTGTTCATCCTTGGAGAGTTTAATTTATACTGCTTGACAAAGGGAATTCCCTTAGACAATGCTCCTTTTTTTTCCTTCAACTTTGAGATAGAGTAGCTTTTCAAAATAAAAAAGTGTGTCTGAGAAAAAAAAATGAGATGAATTTGAGGGCTAGAAAGGGAATACTGAGACGGGGAGAAAAGAGGTAGCTGAAAATATTTAATGAAAAATTTAAAATGAAGATCAGAGCTCTGGAGAAAACCCAGAAACCGTGAAATAGTGAACTCAGTGAGAGACAGATAATCTGGACAACTGGAGTAATCACTGGTGTTTCAGTTTTTAGTTTGTTCTGGGTCATCTTTAAAAGTCTGCTCAGTTCTGCCTTTTGATGGTGAGAAATAGGAGTTATAGGTCAACTACTGTAAGATGATGGACAGTAGCGAAATTTTATTCTCGCCGTGGATATTTTGAATTTATGTTTTTCTCTAGTTTCTTTTCCTGAATTTTTGGCTTTCTTTACTGTTAAAATAGATGTTACAATTTAATCCATATTCTAAACATATTTCCTAGTGGAAACATAGTTTTATGTTTTTGTGGAACATTTTCTGAGATCTGCATTCTCTTAAAGAATTATTGCTACATCTGTGACGCCAATATGTCAATGCTTCTAAAACGCTTTTTAGGGTAAACATTATTTCTGCGTTGGTTGCGTAGTAGGTCTCCCACAGATACTCCTTGGGGGCTGATGTTTTGAGTTGTTCCTGGCATTCTTCCTCTTGTGGAGACTTGGGTCTTCATGGCAAGTTCTGGCTAAAGGATTTATAACTTGTGGTCTGGACACAAGTGCCTGGCATGTTAGGTTGAGGTCATCAGACAGCTCTAAAGGGAACCAGAGTGTAAAAGTCAGGCTTGGGAATGCCACAATAACAGCCAGTACTCACTCCTCAGTTGAAACATTTCTCCTGTTTCCCCTAAATGCCCAGGAGGGACTGCATGGGTGTAAAAGACTGAGCCATTGTTCTCCACCCTGTTTTATTTTTTAAATTTTTTATTTCTTTTGTGGGGGAGATAAATTAGGTTTATTTATTTACATTTACTTACTTATTTTTAATGGAAGTACTGGAGATTGAACCCAGGACCTCGTGCATGCTAAGCATGAGCTCCACCACTGAGCTACACCCTCCCCATTCACCAGTCCACCCTCCTTTAAAAACTTCTTGACTTTTAACGTATCTCTGAAACCAAGCTTCTCAGTGCCTACAGATGCACTGTAATTGTGACAGCTCCCAGATCAATGCCCTCCATTATACACGTACCTTCTCTCTGTGGTTGATACGTATGAAATGTTGAATTTGTAATTGGAATGAACGTGTGTACACACTCTTTGACTCCTGTGTTCACTGTCACTTTCAAGTGTCAAACTGGAAGAAGGGTCCAGGAGCACACCCTAAAGGGAGGCGGTGGGTCGTGCCGACAATGATGCCTGGGCTTGGCAGGGTTTATTGCATCAAAACTTACCAATAGTGGCATCATTTCTAACACTATTTCAACTCGTAGCTGATGCAAAAGGGGATACTTTATTCATTTAGATGATCAGTTTTAACTAATACAAAGGGAAAGTGATCATGAAATCTCCCTCTCTCGCTTTTGATAGACTTTATTTTTCTTGGGTAGTTTCAGGTTTACAGAAAAATGAGTGGAAAGCAGAGTCCACATATACCTTCTTGTGTCTCCACCCCTCCTGCCCCAGACATCCTTATTATTAACATCTGGCATTGAGGTGGGACATTTGCTACAGTTGATGAGCCAATATGAATACATTATTACTGACTGAAGTTTACAGTTTACATTAGGGTTCTCTCTTTGTGTTGTACAGTGTGTGGGGTTTGACAGATGCGTCCACCATTACTGCATCATATGGAATACTTTCACTACCCTGTAAATCCCCTCTGGTGATTTTTTTTTAATTTAATTTTTTTTTTTATTTTCACAAAGTAGGAAGTGTATGTGTGCTTTCAGGAACTGAGATTCAGAAATATAGAAAATCATAATATTAGTTGAAAATATAACTTGTTAAGGACCTTTAAAACTTTACAATATCTGAATTTTATAGTTTTAAACACGGTTAACTCATATAAATTCATTTCATTACAATCCCAACTGAAAAATACAGGGAAAATACAATAGGCACTTAGCTTACAGTTCCATTTAGGAACAAGTTAATACAAATATCCTTGATGGCCAAATGGCAATTATAAAATTGTCTTCTGGGCATCCTAAGTGAATCACTTCTTAATAAATCAATCTTGAAGGTATTCTTTTGATGTTTCTAGAGTGAGGGGGAAAAGAAGACATTTACCAGCACTTTCAGATAACATTTTAAAAAATATTGTTTGTTTCTGTCGTTCTGTGGGTAATGGTTCTTTTTAATGTTCCATTTCTAGAATATGTAATCCTAAAAGGGATTTTTTATTATCGCTGTGCTTGTTTCACTAGTTCGGCAGAGCAGTAAATACTTGTTGACTGGTTGACTGTAACTTAAGTAGTATGAATGTCAGGAGATTGGAAATGATTGACCAGAATGTGGATTCTGAGTTTTGTACATGAGAGTTACTTGAGCAGATGTTGAAACCAAATGGTTGTTTTTAATCTGTTCCCTAAGTCAGCAGTTGTCACTCTATAATACAATTAAACTTCAGCGATCTGTTCCTGGAAGGCCATTCAGGTGTTTTTCTTCTCTTCAAGAGCAGAGGATCATTTTGAATTGGGAAAAGAAGTATAAAATATCTGCAGAGAAAAATGGTATCTTACGTAGGTGAGTTTACCCAGGAAATGTGTTTTCTTGCATGAGCAGAGTTTGAATTTGAGTTTCCTGAGGTTGCTAA